GACTATAAAGTAAATAAAATAGATATAAATTAAAATTTTTATTCTATATACGATAACTTAAATTACATTAAGTTATTAGTGTTTAGCAAAACCAACCCACAAATCAAAGTCAATTGCAAAACCAACCTCTTTTTGTCATTACTATTCATCTATGAAATTTCCAAACCATCCATATGTTTTTGAAATATTTACAGCATTGCCATTATTATTTGTTTTTTAATTATTTCGAAAATTACAAAAAACCAGTTACACCCTAAACTTTTCTTCTTATTTACAACAATGCCATCTTCATCAATTTTCAACCACCATAAACCACCATTTTTAGCTCTTTAAACCTCTCAAATTTAATTTTCAACCACTTTCTCATTATAAACCAACAAATCTTCACTTCATCTCACTTTTAATATATTTTAAAAATAAAATTATAAGATTAACTTAGAATGTAGACTTCGTAATAAGTCTATTATATTGACTTCATGATGATAAGTCTACACCTTGTAGACGTCTCTATATTAAGTGTACACTTCATAAGGATAAAATTGTAAAACAGCCTTCTGATTTTTTGTTTAGTCATAAGAAGTAAATAGACATTTCCCTATCTCTTTAGGTTGATTTTGCATTTAATTGAAATTGGGGTACACTTTTGCATTTGATTTGAAATTTTAGGTTGTTTTTGGCAAATGTCCCTTAAATTATTGTAAACATATTTTTACACAAATTTATTACAACTTTTAAAATTTAATGTGTATATATATATATATTTATATTTAAAATGAAAAGTATCATGATTAAAGTAGTAACATAGATTTTATATTATTAGTTTTAATGAAATACATGTTAATTTATATACATGTATTATATAGTTTGCTATCGTAAACCCGTTTTACCAACATATTAAATATTAGTTTTGAACATAAATATTTTTTACTTACAAAAATAAGATATATAAATTTGTCAATTTAATATAATTTTATTAGATTTAGCTCAATATAATAATTTTATTTAAATATGATTTATTATGATTATATATAGATGATATGCTATATTTTTTTTTTCATTTTATAAACTTTAACTGAAAATATTAGTGTATAATAATATTTCAATCCATTTACGAAATTAATGAAAATATTTAAAGATAATATCGAAAATGAAGATGTTGTAAAAATCTTTTAAAACAGATTTGTTAGAATTTTGAAATAAATATATTTATATTTAAAATGAAAATATCAAAGATATTATGATTAAAATATTTTAAAGAATATATATATATTATTAGTTTTAATAAAATACATTTAATAAAATTTATGTGTGATGGTCTGAATTGAAAAAAATCACACATGTAGATAAGTCATGACTTCTGTTTTAATATATAAAATAAACAAAACCAAACTTCACATTAGACAAAAAAAAAACATACTATACATTACAAAAAAAATTCCCCAATTTCTCATAATATCATTAAATATAAAATATACAAAGATAATAAAAAAATCAAAAATTAGAATTTCTCTAAAACTTGAAATTTAGCACCAATTGTCTATTGATATCTCATTTTAGTCAAATTTTCTTTTAATATCAAAATTGAAATAAATTATATTATATATATATATAACACTTATGAAAATTTTATTTAAAAATCTTCCGCGGCGTTGCGTAGCGGGGTATCTACCTAGTTACTATAATAGTATAATGTCATCATTATAGGCAAATCCAAACACGTGGCAGTAAGTGTAAAGATTCATTAAGGTATATTAAATCCAGCGTTATCTTTCTTCTTCCGAGAACAAATCCAAAAACCTATAAATACAAATGATTCATAACGATCAAAACTTTTCAGAAAGAATCACTAGGGAGATCAACATGTTCAACCTTCAAGATGACAAAGATGTCGACCAATCAATGCACAAATATTGCAAATCTCTCGGTTCGACTGGTTTACGCAAGCTTAGATGGTGGTGATTTACGATAGACCTGCGCAAGAACCCTTCGAGATGAGCCCAGACAAGTTAGGCCGGGGAACACCTTTACAAGAGGGACTCTATTTCTACAACGCCCCAAAATTCCATGATCGCTATCACTGGAATAGCTGGAATAACGCCCCAAGAAAGTGTATCCGGCTCAACTATCGTAGGCGACCTGATTAAGTATACTGAAGTGCGATTGTCGACTAGATGGCCACGTTCACCCGGCGTAATCACCATCGTGTTGGAAACCAAAATTTGTGTCTGGTACACTATTTGATTCGTGAGACAGAAAATGGTGGCGGTGATGCCAGAAATCAGGTGGCGGTAGCGGACGAAGATGACGGTTTCGGATATTGATTGCAATCCGATCTAAACCGAATCTGGAAGGAACCAAACCGAATCTGATCAGGGAATTAGTAAAACCCGAATTTAAGAGCATAATACCAAAAAATTTAAAAACTGAACCAATCGAACCAAAACCGACATACCCAGAACTCTCAGGCATATGATATATTTAAAAAAACCAATATTTGTATTTATCATTTTACAATCGATAAAAATTATAGTGATACAAGATGTTAAAACCAAACAAATATTAGTATAAGAACTCACTATGCGCATACGCGCGAGTTATTATCTAGTTAAGGTTATAATGTAAACACTTCGAGATTGCGAAAACAAAGACCAACATGCATGGATGAAAGCGTTGGGGGGGAAGATGCAAGTAACATAAATGCGGAGTCATGTGAAAATGCAAGTGAATTTCATTAAACTTTATTCAAATAAAAACTACTAATAATGAAGAAGGCAACGAACCGGACGTCGAATTTGGTCGTCCCAACTTTATTCAAATAAAAACCGTGTGGAACAACTCACAAAGACAAAACTGGTTTCCCAATCTAATATGAAAACGGACGTCGGATTTGGTCGAATCAGCTCTAATTCGAGCAGGTGGCTTGGGCCGTTGCCAATGCTAGGAGGTGGCAAACATGAATATTACTCTTTCCATTTTAATATAGTTGTCATTTTAGACTTTTATATAAAGATTAAGAAAATAATTAATTTTAAATATTTTTCAAAATAAAAACACAGTTACCTATGCATTTAATCAATTTCGATCAATATAACATATATAATATTTAAAATTAATAAATTTTACATTGAAATTATAAAAAACACATATTTTAAAACGGAAATTTTATTCTAGAATGATATATAATTTGAAATAGAGGGAGTATTAAAATATTAAATGAACTATTAATAAATCAGCTTCAATTTCTATATCAGTGAGAAGTGTATCTTATTCGCATGATTCGGCATGCAAAGATATTTAGAGATGACGCATCCAATATTGGCAAACAAAATTATTTTACAACAAACGAGGGGGATAGAAGAAGGGGGATACTAAAGCAACATCAGTGAAAAGTTTTATTATAATTTTTTTTTTGTTTCACCCTTTTCAGTGGGGTTAAAAATACAAAGGTAGTACCTCAGGTTAAGATATGAACACTACGAGACGGTGAATGTGAAAACAGAGACCACATGGATGTATAAAAGGTTGTTTTCTTCGACACAATTATATTGTATACTCTTACTTACTGTATAGTAGTATGTGATATCTCATATCTGGGAAAAGATGCAAGTAGCATAAATGCGGAGTCATGTGAAAATGCAAGTGAAATTCATTAAACTTTATCCAAATAACAACTACAAATAATGTAGAATGCAAAGAACCGCGTAGAAAAGCAGTCAAAGTACATAACAATATCCGACATGTAGGTCCATCTCTCCAGCAAACACAAAGACAAAGGTTTCCAAGTCTAATATGAAACCGGACGTCGGATATGGTTGAATCAGCTTAACTCGAACAGGTGACTTAGGTTGAGAGGCAATAACATATTCTAGTGTTTTGTGTGGATTATATGACATAGGGGTGGGCAGGAAACAAATATCCGGATATTCAGAGATATTCATGATCCGATCCGTTTCGTTTGAATAATCAATTATCCGGTTCGATTCAATCCGTAGCCATCCGGATATTCGATGCTCTTGATATCCAAATTTTTTAAATTTTTACCGGATATCCGATTCGATTCGTAAAAAATAATAAAAAAATTAAAATAAATAAAAAGTTCAAAATAATATAAAATAATTAATATTTTATTACAAAATACAATTTATTTAATTTTTAAAATTCTAATAACTAATATAATAAATTTAGTAAATAAAAATCTTGTAAAAACTAATAAATATAATATTTATATATATATATATATATATATATATATATATATATATAACGGATCAAATCGGATATTCGTTCCTAAAATTTTTAGTATTTGTGATTTGCTTCGTTTCTTACGAATATCACATTTTATTATTTGTTTTGATTCGTAGAGTTACGGATATCCGAATTTTTCGGTCCGAATCGAAACGGATAGCAAATCGAATCACAATTTACGGATATTTTGCCTAGCCCTAATATGACATATTGAAAAACGAAAGTCATAATGTTCCCCCTTTACATCAAAATGCATGTGCACACTTGGTTTCTCGGAACATCTCCACACAATCAACAAAATAACGGTAGAAGTAGAGCCAATAGAAAGTATTTTATTATGAAAGCCGAGAAAATAAAGCTTGTAAGGTTTACTATATGATAGTACTCATAGTTGAGCTTAAACAAATATGTGTGACATGACTGTAATTTAAAACCTAAATTACATACGACATAAGACGATTTCGTACTTTGTCATTAAAGAATAGAGTAAACCAAGACAGCTGAAAACAGCTGCCATTACTAAGATTTCGATATTGGAGGTGGTGTCAATTAATCTGGTGACAATGTCTATTTTGTAACAGCAAATAGCTTAGGACAAAGCCTCCACGTTGCTCCATAAAGAATAAAGAAGACCAGCATTTCAGCAATTAATCAAAAATCCAGTTCCCAAACTGTTCGTGCTCTCCTGAATACTTAGGGATACTAAATGAGTCATTAATAAATCAGCTTCAATTACTCTCTATCAATGATAACGAGCATCATTAAGAATTCATGATTAGAATAGTAACAAGGCTCGTTGGGCGATTCAAAAAATGGTCATGCCTAAGCTGCTCCCCATAAGACAGTGAGTACACATATACCGGATTGTTTGCGAGATATCTTTAAGACATGATTCAGCATGCAAAGATTTTAGAAATGACACATCCAATATTGGCAAACAAGATTACTTTTATTAATACGTCTCCTTTGCTTAAAGAGCTTTGAGAGGTGAGACACTGAAGCAACAGCCCAGTGACAAACTGAGACTATTTAATTTCCCATGGACAACCAAAAACAAGCAACAAAAAGCCAAAAGGGACAGACAGAAAATCTCGGCAGTCAACAATGGTGGTGGTTAAAACGATCCAAAACCTCGTCTTTGTCCACAAGATCTTCTTCACCTTTTCTCCCTTCCTTTATTTTTCTTCTTACTCCAAATCTCCCACTATCTATTAATAAAACCCTTTCACTACCCTATGTCATCAAATCCAAATCTTATTCATCCTTTTAAGTTATTTAAACCTTTTCCTAACAAACACCCAAAAGTTTTACGGGAACCCAAGTCGATCAGTAAGCCCAGTCCGATGGTAAACTAGGCTCATTCACTCCCTGCTCCATCTTCATCTGGCTCGAGAACCCGCTCTTTTGTCTCCACGACGCCTCTGTTAAAATAAAAAATAAAAACATTATGCAACTGATTATAAAACTGAGAATTTTACTAAATTACAAATAGCTCTTTGTTTGGGTTTGTTATACCATAGAGACTAGCAGAAGACCGGATCATAGGCTGCTGGACCACAGATTCGTCTAGGTTAAGGACCTCTGCAACTCTAGCCGGAACCAAAACAGTCGCAAGTGCTAAACACACACACAAAAAAAAATTAATTAGTGAGAGAAAAAAACAATTAACAGTTGGAAGATGAAATCATTTAAAACTTACTGGGCGTCTCGCCAGTTTCGTCTGTATGGTTAGCGCGACGAGGCAAGAAAACGCCGGTCCCGGTTGATTTACGCTGCTTTCCGGTGCGGTCATCCAGAAAAACAGCACGCATGCCCGAACCATCACGCCTCTGTCGCTGATTAGACCATGCAGGTGGCGAAAAATTTACATGACCAGCACTTTTGTTGTTATTAGCTTTTAATCCTCTGTTTTGCTGCTGCATCAGCTGAAACTGCAGCAAGAAGACAAAAAAATCAGCACCAAGGATATTTATCATAAAAATCAAATGACGTAAGAGAGTTGCGATTTCGATTACTCTGAGAGCTTGTAGCTTCTGGTATTGAAGAGATTGACGACTGTAGTAGCCAGCCCCGTCGTTAGGGTTTTTGACCGCGGCGGAGAGGGTATGTTTTCTTGGAAGATCGTTATTTCCTCTGCTAGTGTTGTAACCGTCGCTGATATTCATCGTCGCCAGTTTCTCCACCGCTGCGCAATAAAGATCCATTGCCCCTGCCTGAGAAGAAACTCGCGTCTGACGATTATGACCATAACCATCTCCGGCCCCACAGAGACTTGATCGAGTCACTCCCCACGGCTGAATTAAACCAAAAAACGACAGTTAGAACTTAAAAACTCTAAACAAAAAAAAAAAAAAACAAAAATGAAGGTTAAAAGAGAGATAAGATGAGTTACCTTGTCGGTCGGAAAAGCGTGGTTACTGCAAAATCCATTGTAGAAATCATCTTCCAGAGATGACTGAGCCATTTTTCTGGTCAACCCGGTTGTACCAAAACCGGAGTCCGACCCGAAGCTATGACTCAGCTCGTAAGGGGACAAGTTGCACTCATCACCCTTGAAAAATTTGTTCTCCTTTTCAAGGAGAAAGTCATCGTCAGTGAGGAACTCTTGAGGAAGCGAGAATTCAACGTCGTCGTTTAAGCTACTAGGTTCCATGGCTCTATCGTTAATATTCAATAATAAAGAGTTCAAAAGAAAATTAAAGGGACCCATTTTCAGGAGGGAAAGAGAAGGAGAGGTATTTGTAGGGGGGAAGGAAGAAGTTAGTGGGTGGTGGTGACGGGGGAGTGGTTTCATTTCCACGCGCTCACGGTTTGGACTTTGGAAAATGGACTTCACGCGCAAATGAATACAGTGTACAGAAGAGTGTGGGCCTACTAATGGGCCACAACGAGGGATAGTAAGTTAGTGGGACCTACTCTCTCAGAATATCTCTGAAAAGGATTGACCAGCACGTGATAGCAGTTAAAACCGTCATTCCCTCGGCACATACTTTCACTGAGTTTACTAAATTACCCCCTTCAACTTGAGGTCCCCCATATTCATCGATTTATCCCCTTTGTGTATATAATAAGCATTGAAAGTGAAAACGTGTACTAGACCATTTTAATTCGAGTATAGTCTCTACTCTATTCATTGGGTACGTATAATATTCTTTCGTGATTTACATGATCAACAGAAAGCTTGTAAAATTATCGATACTGGTACAGAAAGGGATATTATCGTCATTACAAAAAATATGGTGTCACACCACCACTTACCATCGTGGAAAGCGCGTTCATTTAGGTTTGATTGTACTTTTTAGATACGCGAGTAAATGACGGTTTTGCCCAACGGAGTTAATTCCCTGAAATATTTCGGTTGGATAGTATAACGGTGATGTAACCAGATCAGCCCCAGATGGAGCCAAAATATATCGATTCTCAACTGCGGTGCACGAAGATGTGACATGAAAAAGACACGTGTTTTAGTTTAGTTATAGTTCGATTTGTCAAGGGTGACATTTGCCCCCATCTCGAGCCCATTTGCCCCCATTCTTAACGTACAAGTTTTCCCACATCTTTCCCACTACTTTTTATCAAAAGAAAAGGTTTCTTCTAATACAAATTTTGTAAAATTATAAAGTCGATTATGTAAAAGTGAAGGATCAAAGATTGAAGTTACTCGAATAATACACACAGTTAAATGTGTTTAGGACTAAAACGTTGTTTTAAGTGTTGATTGAGATATATCTTATCATCGGTGTAAAATTCATAGCATTTTCAGAGACAACATTTGCATGCATGTCTTATTAATACACACTAGGTAAAGAATTCATCTGATGTCGTACATATTCATTTTATAAAAACAAATATATACCAGATCGTATAATTTATCTTTTTTTTTTTAAATGTGTTTCTTCTTTATTTTCAACAAATTTTTAATAACATATGTATAATATAAATTATATGTGTCTATATCATTTATAGATGCTACTAAAATTTTATATTATATAGAATATATAGAATAAAATTTTGTAAAATATAATTATATACGTATAGTCAAAATATGATTATATGGTAACGTTTTTTTTCTTTATCAACGTTTTATATGGTAACGTTAATAGATCTTCTTCACCAATATATATATATATATATATATATATATATATATATATATATATATATATATATATACTTTTTGTTTTGGGTAAACTACACATGTATTCTTTTTTATCCTTATCATTTGTATCTTTTTAAAAATAAAACTTTTTCTATACTAGTGATATATGCAACTATGCATCTATGAAATTTTTATTTTCTAGAGAAATTTAGATAATTCATGGATCAATATTCTTTGATATTTCTCCTAAGATAGTGTTGAATGCAGCTAAACACAAATACAAAAATTTCATATTTTTTTATCTATCTTAAAATTTATGGGTTAGACCCACAAAAAAAACCAAAATTTTCTAATAGATATTATATGTACTTAAATTAATCTTCTTTAGTGTGGTGTTAAATCTCTAACTACATTAAAAATTTATTCTAATATATCCTAAATTTAATTTATGCTACACAAAAATTAGTTATATTTTTCAATGATTAATTTAATAAAATCCATAAGTAAATCAAAGAACTAAACCATACGAAATCTCTATTTTATAAAGAAATTAGGATAATAAAGGTGTTAAACATCATTGATTTTTATCTTATATCTGTGTTGGATGCATCTGTACACTAAAAGAAATGTACCATATTTTATATTACGAAAATATCTATTTTTTCCAATAAATGTTATATATACTAAAGTTTAGCTTCATTAATATTGTTTTAAAAATTCTCAATCACACTATAAATTCATATTCATATATGCTAAACACATTTTCATGGTATATGAAATCATTTCTAATTTCCTAACGTGTAATGTTTTAAAAATTCAGATACATCTTAATTAATGGACCAACCTCGATAAAATTTCTATTTTCTAGAGAAATGGGAACACGTAAAATCTTAAACCTCTTTAATCTTTATACTATGTCAATGCATTATGCAACTACGCACTAAAAAGAAAATATCATATTTTCTAAATTTTTTTGAGATATGTGAGTTAACCCTTACGAAAATTACTGAATTTTATGATAAATGATATCTATAATATTTAACCTATTTAGTGTTGTTTAAAAAGACCTAATCACACTCAAATTTTATATATATATATATGCTAAACTTACTTTCATGGTACATGAACATCATTTATAGTTTTTCAACGAATAATTTATTTAAGTTTCATATACCATCTAATAAGTGGATTAATTCTTATAAAAACTAAAGAGGAATATCTAAAGTCTCAAACCTATTTAATCTCTATACTATGTCACTGACTGATGGAGATATGTATTAAAACAAAATACCATTTTTTTCTAATTTATCTTGAAATATATATGTTAACCCTTACAAAACGATTGAGTTTTCTGATAAATGCTATATATACTAAAATGTTTAAACTATTTTTTCAAATATCTAACCACATTCGAAATTTGCATTAATATACTAAAATTATGTTTATGGTACATGGACATCAGTTCTAATTTTCAACCGAGAAATTTAATAAAACTCCATATACCAGCTAATAACACTACAAAAAAAGAGATAGATTAGATCACTTAAATTGTATCAGAAAACTAAGTGATTCCATTTTGAATTACTTATTTGTAAATGATACCAATATAATTAATTTAGCATCGATTGTAAGAAGTGATATGTTTATTAATTTATTTGACATCATTTCCATAAAGCGATATATATTTTTTGTAATTGGTATCACCTTTAAACAAATGATGCTATTATTTATAATTAATATCAATTAAATAAATGATGTAGTTATTTTCTTTGTTGCCATCACTTACTAAGTAATACAAAATTTACATCAATAAAAACTGATGTTGTAAATAATACCTCAGAGTTCTCCACACGCAACGGTGGTAGAGATATATTGTGGTGTAACATTGAGCATTCTATCTCATTATTAACCTACATGAACATACCAAAAATGCCATTTAAAATCCATTAATAAGTGTTCTATACTTTTGATCGGTATATATTAATAGGTTGATGGATTTATAAAAGTTTGAGATATTTGTTATACCATATATGCAGTAGAGAACGGTGGATAAATAGAACCATAGTAAACCAATGTCTTTTTGGTTCCAATGGCTCGGTCTCTCCAGCTAACCCGGCGGTCTTTACCCGTGGCCTTCCAATACCCGCCTTTGGTTGCACGGTTTGTCCTCCCGTTGGGATCTCTCTGAAACCTTTTCTCCAAAAAGATCTTTTTAACCTCTTCGTCAGTTGATGTTGTTGCCGGCTTCTTCTTCTTCACGTGCTCAGTCAAAAACAGTGATTGCATCAATTCTTTCTCTCCTCAGAATACAGATGGCTAAACTCTGCAGTTCATGGTGCTGGCTTACAATTGGCTCAGAAAAAGAGAAACTTGTTGCTATAACAAGTACAAATATGCATAGACGTACGAGTTTAACCCAATGATTGCATCCAAGTCTTCTAATATGCATATACGTACGAGTTTAAGTTTTTAAAAAGTATTCACGAAGTAACATTTGTGAGTGGAGTGAGTGCCCAGTTCATTGAATTTTAAATCATTTTAATAAATCTAAACGATCCAACTATGATATGAATAATGGGACATGGCCTTATTAATTAAACAAAGTAACCAAAGTTCATGACAAAAGTAACCGATCCAAAATGATTCGCACGAATATTAATAAAGCTTTTGCAAATATATAGGATGCCTGATATATATAAGATTTCATGATCCTAACTACTTTATGTTTATACGTATATACATGACCAGCACAAAAATTAAAAACATCTAAAACTATGTGAAAGTTTCAGATCCCGCTTTATTTACCTTCCAAGCGGGAATCGATTTTGTAATTAGATATTTTTATTTTAATAAAAACTAACCACAACTAATTAAAATTGTTAGATTCAGGGTTTCACGTACTTCAGAAGAAACCGCTTGTGGCCAAGATCAGAAAGCTAAGGTTGCAAAAAATCGCAGGATCAAGGTAAATTAACTCTTGGATTCAATTATTTTGGTATTTAACTCTCTTCTACACTTTCGATAAATGAAAAAGGAATAAAGGATTCACATATTTATGGATTTTAATTTGTTTTAGGACCATGGATTTTATGGATTCAGAGACACAAGCACCAGATGATTCACCATTTTGGGAAACGGATCATGACATGCCTCCTCCACTTGCTGCTGAATGTAAAAGCTTTAAGTGGAAAGTAGAAGTCATAGGTAATATAAATTAAGACTGTCTCTTTAGTTTATTTACAGATTTATTTTCTAAGAACTGTTAAGTGATTGAACTCTTAAGCCTATTGTGTTTGCCCTAGCCTATCGTGTTTTAGTCAAACAGATTTATAATATTTGATTAAAGGAATATTCAGTCTTAGAAAAACCTATTTGTATGTGTTTAACGAGTTTGATCAAACGGATCGAGTATATTTCTTACGAGTTATTAACATTGAAATTCACGAGAATCAATATTTAATCTGTTTATGTCTTGCCTACATAATCTGTTTTTTTTTTGAATGGTTCAACCTAAGAAATATATTATATGCTAATTGGTATATATTTTTTGATGAACAAGATAATGACGGAAATATCGAAGGCAAAATGGTAACTTCTAAAGATGTCTGGAAATTTCAAAACAGTAGAGTGATTGTACATT